AACCACTGTCCTCATAGTATTGAATGAAACTCTACTGAAACATTATATACATGTATGATTTTATGTACTTTAAAAACCTTATTTGAGTAAATGTTTTTTTAAGCTTGATTTTCAATTCCTTTTTCTGCTAAACGGACATAACGTGATCCAATCTATAGGTCACAGATCAAAGTTGCTGTTAATAAAAAATTGTAATTATGATGGACATTTTGTTTTCGTATGAGAACTAAGAATCCTTTTGTTTTATGATAAAATGAAACTGATGTAGATAAAGACGTAGGCTATGGAGGTAAAGTTCAAGAATTAATTTCAAAGATTTTAAAAAATTGACAAAAATACAGAAAAATGAGGTTCAATTTCTTATGTTTTCTTTGGATTACCAGAAGTACACTTTAAGCAGGATTTGAATTAAAAATACTACTAGTATTACCAAGTTAAGTTGTTATCATTACACTTCAAGAGTCATTAATTGGAATAGAACAAACCCAGATTAACTTTATAACCAAGGAAAGTATGGAATTTTGTTCATGCGCTCGGCTTTCAAAAAGGGTTTATGTATATTTGGGACTAAAACGATTAAAATGAGACACACAGAAATAAATGCTTTGTTCGTTTTAGCATCAATTTTGACAGAATACAACATACACTAGCGGTTCAGCTAACTAACGACCGACAATTCTGCTTTTGTTTGTGAATTGAGTACCAAATCTACATTCTAGATTGAGTTTTATTACATTTGGATTAGAAGGCGCATATGAAGTATAAGTTTTGTCCTAAAATTATATTTGTTTCTATGGAAAAGTGCTTGAATAACGTTGTACTAACAACACGACGGGTGCCACATGTGGAGCCGGATCTGCTTACCCTTCCGGAGCACCTGAGATCCCCCAGCTCTTGGTGGGGTTCGTGTTGCTCAGTCTTTAGTCTTCTATGTTGTGTTTTGTGTACTGTTGTTTGTCTGTTTGTCTTTCTCTGTTTTAGACATGGCGTTGTCAGTTTATTTTCGACTTGTGAGTTCGAATGTTCCTTTGGTATCTTTCGCCTCTCTTTTGACTTCATAGTACATTTGATAAAAATTTTCTTTTGAATTTTTTTTATCGGTAAAGCAGTAGTAATGATCCACATGCCATTAAGAGTAAACGTTGCACCATGTAATCTTACGTAAGGCGATTCATGTGCATGGCAGCGCCAAGTACTTTCAACGTAAATGGCGAATACATTTTTATTCAGATTTTAACACGGAAGTATACTTGGTAGACTAGAACAGTGTGCGTTATAAAAGCAGTCGCATGATAAATGTTTACGGGACATTAGCTTTAAAATTCATGTTCACCGATTAAACTCAAATTTTCATATAATGCACGGTATTATGTATCAGTATGTCGTGTGTATCAAGACGGCATCTAATAAACCTTCGAAATTACATCCGAAGAATGCCGGTGGTCATACGGATGGCCCGATATAAACATAAATATAAATATAAATACACAGACTAGCACATGCAGTCGTATAACGACGATTTTTTAAAGTCTGCTTGATTTCATGTTATAGATTTTTCCTTTTCAATACAGACATTTTTTCTTTTAATAACTGAATATCCTTAGCACTTGCGTAACCCATCTCCAACTCAGAGTCAAATTGAAGTTTGCAAGAATACGTATTTAATTGAGTTGGAAGTATTGACTTTCAAGCCAATACTGAATCAGCGATGTTTTTGAGCTTATTTTGACAAAATTGAACCAAACTGACTTCTTATAGCGAAATATTATTTAACATTTCTGATTTTATATATTTTTGAAGCAAAAAAATATCTTATTTCAGTTTTTTGTCTAAATCATAGCTAATACCCCTTTAAGCAGGCAATACCGATACAATAGACCGGTATTAAAAGGAGCATCGCGGTTATCTCCACGAGCTCTTCATTCGTAGAAAGGATTGGGTTAAATTAAGTGCATTTGCGTTATTTTACTTCTTAAAATCTATAATCATAAGATCTATAAACCACATACAGTTTTATCATCAAGAAAGATGTAGTGATTGCAGTTTTAATGAATGCACTGAACGTCACGTTTTTGGTACGCTTTTTTTTTTTTTATCATACATAGTTTTCTCAGCATAAATTGTGATGTATTGTTTTTCATACATATTTCAGCTATTTGTCCAGTAAAATATTTTGTATAATAATGGATAGCAAGTACTAGTATTTGATGAGTTTTCTTTAATTCATTCAAACATTGTGTTTACCCCATAGAATTATACAGCTGCAATATGATTTTAAAACTTTTCTGTCATTGAAGACCATCCATAAGTTGACCTGTGGAAGTTGTCTTTATTGTTAAATTGTTAAGCCTCTGTCATGATTATTTTCATCTGGTTTGTTTTTCATATGAACAAGAAATGTAATCATGATGGCGAAGAACAGTTAAGGCAAAACAATTTAATATTTTAACTTACTTGTTTGATACTAAAACATTTCACGACTGTAAAACATTAAAAAAAAAGATAGAGCTTTAATGTAGCTGAAACGCCATTTGTAATTTCTTAATAAATGTGACACGTTGTTTTAATTATAACGTCAATTAAATGTCATACATGTTACAATAATATTATTCAGTAGTTTGGAAACAATCTTGTTGCTTCATTTCATATTTCCTTTCCCTAGGGATTTGTCATATACATTACTTCATACATTACCGGTTGTTGACTAGATAATATTTCTGTGTTCAAACATTGCAACGTTTCAATACTCGAATATACCTTGTGTTAATTTCACCGTAAATATATCAAGCTTGTAATTAAAATATCAATTTGATAACAAAATGAGGTTAGTGTTGTTTTCCCTTTCCCTTTCTTACAATTGTCTTTTTTGATTGTTTGTACATATATTTAATATTGACCAACTACCATTGAGTATTCAACAAATGTCGGTGATTTATTATAAAAACTGTACTTTTAAGGTTAGATTGTTTCAACATTTATTTATTTTGGTTTTATTTGCGTTCTAATTACGTCTATTTCACCTACTATTAATACAAATTCTGTAATAAATGGAATACGTCCATAAAATGTATAGCGTTTAAATATACCACAAACAATCTTTAGGGGAAGTGATCAGTTTTCACGTTTTAGTGGCTTATCAGTTATTGTGCGAAAATTTTATTGATATTTAATGCTTCAGTTTCCAATTATTATGACAGATTTACAGTGGTTTCAAAAATCTTTGCTTATGATCTTCATTCTGTAGCAATAACAGATTGTAGACTGGTTCTTTTGTCTTAAAACAAATCATTCTTGGTGAAAAGGGAGGCAGCCAGACAAGATCACTTGTTGATCAAGTTTTGAAAACAATATTGTTTGGCCGTTGATACACAAACCGAAAATTGCTTTGTTTAGATGGTTTTACCATAAAACAGACGAAGGAAAGTTTTTTAAAACTTATTTTGAACTTTAAAGACAGCAGCGACTTTCGGTCTAGTTCACTGCATTTAATCATTCAGTGTAAAAAAAAACGCTCAACAATGATGGTTTTACAATGCAGCCATGAAATGATCTCTAGTTTTTATTTCGCCTGCGACAGTTGCTTCTCTAAATAAAGAAGATCAGGGGTATACATAAAGTCGATAAAAACACATAATAACAACAATTGGTCATGGAGCTGTTTTTCAAGCTTGTTAAGAGAAAAGAAAAATTGGGGTCACGGGACTCGTTTTTCTTGCCACAAAGCAAAATGGGGAAATTTCCTACACATTCCCTTTGAAAAGTAAGGTTATATGAGTTATCTACCCTACCATGATAAAGTGGTAAATAATCAGATCATTCAAAAATGTTCTGTATTTGTTAAAACAGTCGCAATATTCATAACCTCAACACTTAATTTTCTTCATTGAGATAAAATGTTTAAAAATGAATTACATTTCCAAAACTTGATATGTCATTAAAGCTCTAATTGTATTCTGCTATTTTACAATCCAAGATTGTGGAACACACCCGATCTTCCTTTAGAACGTTTTATTCCCAAAAAATGAGTTGAATAATCATCTTATACGTTTTTTTTACATTGTGCAGTTGTAATGTGTTTTCTAAGCAGATGTATTTATGGAAAAGTATCTATAAAATACAAGTTTCTAACAATATATTAGACCCTACACTTCCGTTTCGTTTTAACAAAGACCGGTAGGGATATTCTTTGTTGAAATTTCTCATTTCAAACGTGACATTTTCCCCTTCTAATTTTACATTTCTCAGTTCCAAATAGACATTCCTCTCTTCCAATTTTACATTTCTTAGTTCTAAGTTAACTTTTCTTAGTTCCAAATAAGTATTCTCCTTTCCGAGTACACATTTCTTCCTTCCAAGTTGGCATTTCTCAGTTCAAAATAAGGTTGAGACATTTTTTTACCTTAGTATTGCCCTTGTACAATATGAAAATAACAATTTATAAATTTTTAAATTTTATGCGTCCAAAGCACTTTTCTGGATTTACCTTTGAAAGCCAAGGATGCATAAGACCCGAAACACCTAAAGAACTGTATGACCAAAAGGGACCTAAAATAATAACCAAATCCATCTAAAGTCAACTTTGCCTGATGTAGATTGCAACTATTTTTTTTACGTTCAATTCCTGAAAATAAAATGTTCTCTTTAGACACTGTTGTAATAAGTTTCAGATACTTTACACACATCACTATAAAGCAGAAATATTCGTTCCCTATGGCATTTGCGGTCCTATCCTATCTATAGCACTTGGTTAATTTTCCGTACTTACAAAATAAGCCCAAGATATTACAAGCAGTAAGTTAGGGCGACAGTAGTTTGCCGATGTTCAAATTTCGTAAATCGAATAGGAAGAGAATAATCAAGGAAACTAACAGAAACCAATGGAATCGCAAGAACTCCAAAAGGAGCGCGAGATCGGGTGTCTCCTGCTATGTATGCATCAACCGCCATGCGAATTCATTTTGAAAAGAGAGACTTCATTTTGTTTTAATTGTATTTTTCAGGTTTACTGAGTTTTTTCTCAGTCATATCAACGTCATTAGCAGTAACACAATTCAATGCGTTTGAATTGAACGTAACTAATACAGGAACAGACTTCGGAGCAACGTTCTGTCCGATATTTGATAACGGAATAAACGTTACATGCTCCGTATTACACGGGGATGATACAGGGTCAATATGGTTAGAACCTATTTTTTCAGCTACGGAGTGTTCAACGTACAATTTTACATCCGCAGGATATAAAAACGTTTCTGCATACTGTGTCGTTGGGGCTATTTTTGGATATGACAACCAGTTGGTTTACATTGGAACAGAAATAAAACATCTAATTGTAGAAGACACAAATGCAAATATATTTATACCTATGATAAGGTCTGAAACTAAAACCATAAAAGTTTCATACGATGAAGGTACTGATGTTTGGATTAACGCTTCGCTAATTGAAACTGGGGAAAATCTTTACCTTTCACCGAATGGTTCCTCGTCACTGGTTCAAACTTTTGATGTGTTTGGCAATGATTTACCTGGTCTAGGACAACATGCAGCAGAGGTTGTAGTATGGAATGAGTTAACTACCTTGAAGCGTTATCTAGTATTTGCTGTTGCCGATGCGATCGATGGATTTAGTTCTACAATGAATGTTTCCTCCCCGTTTAGGATCCATGTTGATGATTCTGTTACATTTGGAATAACCACGACAAACGGATCCGATATAATTTATTCTACTGAAATCGACCAGGTTGCATACATTGAAACAACAACCGGATTTGTTTCATCATATGAATATACACACTCATTTAATGCGACTGGAACCTATACAATCGTAATGGGAGCATCTAACTATGTTAGCATGTTTGATAATACAACTACCATTATTGTACAGAACCGAATAAACAATGTTAATGTAAGTGCTCCCGAATACGAGTTATATCCAAATTTTAATTTCGCTTTCATGATGGATGTTGATGCTATATTTCCAATGGGAACACTCAACGCAGATATTTACGACGGTGGAACTTACCATAAAACCGTAAACCTATCTTTGTTAACCCCAGGCAATACCATAAATGATGCTGAAGCTGGTCTTTCTTTAGGCGCGCATGCTTTATTTATTTCCATCTATTCAGAAACATCATTATTGAACTTTTCACTAACAGTAACCCTTGAAAAAACGATTCAAAATTTAGAATTTCTTCATCCAGCAGAGGCAAAACTATCTGATGCTCAAATGATAGGAATCAGGCTTACAAACGCTGCTGATGGTCCATTATATAATGTCACGTGTTCTTTTAACGTTAGTGGGGTGGTATCAACAGAAGTTTTTGATCTAATTTCTGATACTGTTAACTATACAGTTGCTATTACATATCCTGACACGGGAAATATTCCATTATCAGCTAATTGTTCCAACCAGATCAGCTATCTATCATTATATGGAAACGTCAACGTTACATCAGACTGTTTTGAAATTGGAACATTATTTAGTACCAGTTACAAAGATGAGAAAAACCCATTAGCCATACTGATTACAAATGACAACACGGTATGTATAAAGTAAAATAACAATAATACCGAAACCCAAGGAAAAATCTAAACAGAAAGTCCCTTATCAAATGTCAAAATCAAAAGCTCGAACACACCAAACGAACGGAAAACAACTATGTATATATTACCTCTGTATAATTAAAAAGGACTAGTTTGTGGTCAATATATTTTTCCTCTGATAAAACAAAAACTATATCCCAGATTAGTCCGATACTCTGAAAAAAAATGAAAGCAACACATTATAAATTTCATGCTTCCGAAGCTCTTTTCTATAATGCTCCATTCTTTGGATGTTTTTGATAAATTACGTGCTTTTGATGGTTATTTTAATTCGGTTGACAAAGAGAAAATTTATTTGCTTCAACTCATATAAAACCTTCGTCAGTAATGAAAATGGTAAATATGCTGGATAGACTTCTTGGAAGTGTGATGAGATGATTAACGCTGTAAATTTTCTCCTTGACAACATCTAAGTACGTTTCGGCAAAAACGTTTATCTGCAGGTTGTAGGTATTCCCATAGGCACCAATGGCGCACCTTTAATAACAGACTTATTCTTGTATTGTTATGAATCACAGCTTATGACAAAACTACATAAAAACCAGTCTAAATTCCATTTTAATTGATAAATTCAACAACACCTAGCGTTACCTTGACTATATTTTCCGGTTAAATAATCATGAATTCCCTAAAAACCCTGCCGAAATTTATCCAAAGGAACTTACTTTAAATAAATCAAATGTAAACATCAATATTTGTCCTTTCCTAGATTTTGATGTTTCAGTTTCACACGGAAAAGTCTTTACAAAAATATTCGACAAAAGAGACGATTTTTCATTCCCTTTTGTGAATTTTTCTTTCTTTGATGGTGATGTTCTATTGGTCCCATCTTATAATGTTTTTTATATCCCAACACGTTCACTATGCCCATGTCTGTAGTGACTTCGTAAGTATCAATTAACATAATCTACGTATCACTGGTAAATTATCAAGTCTGAGATTTCGTAACCACAAATTATTTACTTTCAACCATACAATGATTTGGTTTTGAAGTTTGGCTGTACATGTAGAAAACTTTTTACACACGGGATATCAAATCATTCTTTTTTATGGTGACGATGTTTATTGCCATACAGCTATGAACATTAACGTCCTACATTCTGTCGATACTTACATTTTGGCAGTGCATAAGTTCAAATAAAAACAGGAAGATGTGGTATGATTGCCAATGAGACAACTCTACACCAGAGACCAAATGACGTAGAAGTTAGCATCTATAGGTCAGCGTACGGCCTTCAAAAATATACAAAATACATACCGCATACTAAGCTGTAAAAGGCCCCGAAATGGGTAATTATATATATATATATATAATTTGACTGTTTAATATTCCTCGTTAGTAAAGTTCTGATACAAGACAGTATCTTTTTAGTGTAAGAAGAGACATAACTCTTATTAAAACGTATATTAATCAATTAGAAGTTTAACTATCTGGCTAGGCAGCGAAACTGGGTATTAATCTAAACCGATGCAGTGTGTAAAATGTTCCTCTTTACATCATATCTCATTGTGGTGGTCCTAGATAGGAGGAATTTACGAAATTTCTTTTCGATTTTCAGGTACAAACACGAGGTCTGATTTTGTTTAACAGAAAAAGGTGCCGGGCAGATTGCATAATAACTGATTATCCCGAGTTTATCTGTTAAAAGAGAGGAAGGGGCAATTTCCATTATTTTTTTCCCTCGAAATGTCGAAATTTTGAAATATTATTTCCATAATGTTTTTTAAAGTATTAATCAGCGCTACTATTTCAGGCATTTTGATAAAATACTATTTTTTGTAAAAAATTGTTATTGTAGGATGATAAAGGATGGCCGTTGAATCCAATTTAAATAATAACATGATTAAATGACATGAATATAAACTCTGCTTTGTGCTAGACCGACACGATGATCCGGATTTTTAACGTGCTAGTTCACAAGGTAACACCTAACACGGACATACTATTCTTACCCAGAACAACCAGTCTTTGCTCTAACTGAAATTGCCGCGTGTTAAGCGGGAGAGCAGCAAATATCAACTTGAATTTTCAAGTTTTTGGTTTAATCCGACCGGAGTTAAAACCCACGACCGTCCGCGCACGCACTTGAGTCGAACACTCTACCAATAGACCAACGAGGCGGTTATTTTATTGAATGGTATATTTAACCAATATGAATTGACTTTTATCTGAATGTCAATACATAGTTTACTTCTACCATATTTTTGATGTTGGTTAAGATTATCCCTCAAGAACATTGTTACTTATAAATACTCATATTTTGCTAAATTTATCAAAATTGTGTACTTAGATTTTGAGTTGTGATACTATGAATATAATAAATATTTTGAAAATGATCCCTGTGTGAAATAAATTAATATGAGTAATTGGATTTAATATTTACCTGAAATAGCTTAATATTGAACAAATATAATAACGATTAATTAACAAAAATGAGAAAAAAAGGTCACTATAAGCAGGACTTGTTGATTTATTATTCAACGAAAGCAATATTTCTGTATGCGCTATATAAGAGTAGATACAAAAAGAAAAAATGTAATATTTTGGTTAGAATGTTTCAAAAAGGGAATAGTCAATTATTTTTTTAGAGGCGATAGGATTAGATATGTTTAACAAGTTGAAGACGGTAGTGGTTTTTATTCTTTTAGATAACAAGCAAAGGTGTTGTAACTCTTACCTGTCGAAACAGTTCAAGAGATTACTACTGGGAGTTATGGCCACAACTCCAAAATGACACATATATTAAAGACCAATATTATTCTAATCCTGCAAATCAACCAAAATCTGCTACAATTTTCTTTGGGAAAGAGTCAATTGCTGAAGGAAAATATATGCTCCGAATGGTTGTTAATTTGACAGATATTGGCCAATCTTTAGAGGACGATATGTACGTTGATTTTAGATTACCACCTATTGTAACGGGAATTCAGGGAGGCTCAAGTAGATATGTAAACAAAAATGACGAACTGGTTATAGATGCTGGGCCAGCAACAGATGATAAAGTATTAAAATACAAAACCGTCCCTTTTAATTATGAGTGGAAATGTCGTCAAGGTCTTACACAGTCACAAGTGGACGAAGTTCTTGGAAAATTTGGCACACCCGGAGCTCCAGACATCACAACCCTTGGATCTGGTTGCAGTAATGTACCTTTATCAGGAGCAAGGTGGACAATACAACCTGCAGACCTTGCGGATACATGGTATTTGTTTCAGGTGAATACCAACAAAACGACAACTGTGACAGTTGCACAATTAGAAAGTGTTAACAATACCAGATCAGCAACTGCTATTCAAGCTGTAAGGGTGCGAACTGGGGACGCCCTTTCAAGTGAAATATTGTAAGTATTAACGTTAAATTTGCTCCACTGAAGTATGAAACAAATTAAAAACGTTCATTTACATTTTATTCTGTTTACAAAGGTACATATACCTAAATAAGAAGGTGTTAAGTTTGTGTTAGGTAGTATCAATCATATTCTGTCCTTTCGCTCATGCCTTATCGGTTATGTTTTCGCGATCTTTTTTCCTTTGGCATGTCGTATAAGGTATATTTCACTTTTGTTGAGTCTTAATCTTAATATGTTCTGTCGACATTTGTTTTTCATTTTCAAATTAAATATTCACTCACCTGTAAAGTTTTATTTCAAAACATTCAGTGACTGCAATTTGTGACTGTTATATACATGTCACAAATATTTTATTCATACGGTAATACTGTGTGAAAGTATCAGTGATATGATAAAAAAAAATGAAAAGTGTACAATTTTTGTCCGCTGTACACAGATCGAAATGTTGACTTAATAAAGTTTGTCTGGTAGAATGCAGTCATCCTTTTACCGAGTAACATGCCTGATTGTCTATACAATCTTGTTTGTATTCACAACATTTAATAACATAAATAAAGTTGTCTGAGGTACATGTAACATAGTTTTGAAAGCGAACATTTATCCAGAAAGAATTTGAAATAAAAAATATGACGTTAAAGGTTTGAAATTACATATTAATTTCACATGTGAATCTATTCGTTTTTACTAAAATGATTGGTACTCGCGATATGTCATTGCTACCAATGTTATAGATTAATATATTCTATCATATGTTGATGATTGGTACTCGCGGTATGTCATTGCAACCAATGTTATAAATTAATATATTCTATCATATGTTGATAAAAGGGTAGGCGATAACAAGTGACAATGTAAAACAGTCGGATAAAAAACCCTAAAACATAACCGTGACAAAAACGAAAAACGAAGATGAGACAAACTTACATCCACTTTATTAGAACTTTGGTGGATAGTTGTCTCATTGGCAATCATACCTCATCTTCTTATTGTTAACAGACTACAGTAGACTGCTCATAAAACTAAAGATTAATCAACGCGAACCCCAGCGAAAACATGAGACTGAACTCATGTACGACACGAATAAAACACTTTGGGTTATTCCTGTTAAAATAAGCAAATGAATTATATCTAGTAATTAGACATCATACAAGAGCAGCATTTATAGGTTTTAGACAAGTAAGATTGTTGTCTACTTAAACAACGCATCTGAGGAAAGTGTACGACTAAAAATAATACATAAGATTTTTTATTTCAGGTGCAAAAGAAATTGTCTACCGAAATTGTCCCTGAACTCCTTACTTATACTTAATGCAGATTGTCCAGCATGTAGCTTATCAGATACCAACTACGAGTGGTCAATATATGTGTACAATAACGGAACAGGAGTATTTGACAGTTTAGATGCGGTACCACGAATCAACCAGTCACAACTAATAGAGACAAGTAAGTGATCCACTTTGTTTTGTTTGTAAGAATTAAAAGCCTTACAGACCTGCAAAGTCTATTCTTTGTGCTTTGGTAAAGTTATCAACTAAAACAAAATTTGCTTATTCAAAACAAATATTGTATTGCATTTTCCTTAAAATTCCTAATGTTTTGTTCCAATGTTGCATATATTGTTGACGTTTTTATGCTGTCGTACAAATTGGTTGTATAAACTGTTGTTAAATTGTTTGAGTGCCTTAAGATGAACAAGTAATTTTGATGAAATTTTACTGAACACAAAACTATTGTTTATTGTTGTCATATATATTGTAAACGTTATGTATCATTTAAACCAATCATGAAAAAACTGTATTTTGTTGATCTGTATATCGAATTAGCGTCTAATTATATGTTACCCCTTTTATTTTCATTAGAACTAGCAGGAGGTAAGGTTTACAATTTTCATGAGCACCTCAATAAGGTTAAAGATGTTCAAGAGCACTTCAGTATTTGATTTGTACACTTAGTACTTCTTGTAGTCATATAGAATGATGCTATAGAATGATGCTATAAGCCCATGTTTCTGAAGCATAAGAGGTCAATGATTTTAGTGATCATGCATTACGTTATAACATGTTATCATTTGTAGTTCTTTTAAATAATACCCGGAAAAGGGATACTGCCACACGATCAAAATGTATTCTAACAGCAAGCAAAATCTTCAAATTGTACTACATTTATTAAAATATATGACCATCACTTTTCCTTAGCTGTTTTGAGTCGTCCATTTAATGTACAGAATTATATTACACTAAATATAAACCTTCTAAGAGATGATATATGTCCCTTGCAGTTGAAACTATAGAGAATTTGAAGGAAAGTTCATGTTATTATATTAATTGCAAAGATGTAATATTTATGTGTCACTAGATAAAACAACGTCTTTCATATATGTACATTGTACATAGGGTATAACCTTTTAAAATTTTATAAATCTAAAGCTAGTGCCTGATTTGTAGGATGGTGAATTCTATGATATGTATTGCAAATGCCACTGTTGCCTATATACAAAACAGCTAACATATAATTAGTTTCTACATTTTGCTAATTTTGATTGAACTTTACAACATTTTTAAATTCTTTTCTCGATGTATACCGCTCTGTTGAATTTTTAATAAATCAGAAATTCAGTAGTCGTGATGAAAATTTGTTGAAATCAATTCAATAAACCGGAATAATTTGAAGTTAAACATATATTAGTTAAATGTGAATTTGAAATTTTATATGGGTGACATCTTCATAACGTAAATAACACTAATCCTTAAGTACGAAGAATGTTCCTTGGTACATTAAATCTCCTTATATCTTAATAATTTTGATTGTTTTGCACTAGCATTGATATTTGGAACTTTGCTTCATTGGGTAACTGAAAATGGCAAAAACTGTACTACTAGACATATATTCCAGGCTTAAATTTTTATTTCCAGCAGTATTATGTAATATATATAGCACATAAATTTTCATTCTCAATGTAATAACTCTTCAACGTTTGTATTAGGTTTTGGATTTTCAAACATTTTTGCCTCCAGCATCACTGAAGGGGCAATAATTGTCTAATTGCTCATTTTGGTGCAACAATAATATGTAATGTTAATGATACGATATAAGTTCTTATTTGTAAAAATACATTTCGTTGAAAAATGTACAATCCTGTCATGCTAATTGGACCACAAACTGAGTATATATTTTTGAAGGGGTACTGTTCGGACTTGTTTTTTATCTACCAATTGATACTTTATCAAATGTATATACTGTTCACTTTATCTAATGTATATAATATTCAATGATCAGTGTCAAAGTACCGATAACGGCGAAGGCTAAATACAATTACATCGAGGAACTAACGATTCGTCATCGTCAACAATGGTAAAAGATCTTTGGACATCCAAACTGTACAGCATTCAAATTAAGTTTCTTTAAATTCAGCTTTAGAAACGCTAAATTAAAGTTTAAAAGTTTAAAAAGTAGATAAAGCATATGTTCTGCACCGGAAGAATGTGATGAAATTTCAGGAACGAAATGATCAAAATGCTCAAATTATGGGCAGTGGTTGAGCACTGTCTTTACATTTCAATGTGACACTAATGTATCGGAGATTATTAAGATGTCATTCTCTCGATGTCGATCAAAAAAGTAAAATAACAAAAACACCGAACTCCAAGGAAAACCCAAATCGGAAAGTCTCCTATCAAACGGCAAAATCAAAAGCCCAAACACATCAAACGAATGGAAAACAACTGTCATATTCCTAACTTGGTACAGGCATTTTAAATGCATTAAACATCGCATTTTCTTTGTAACATGTAGATTAATCCCAATTTTGATGCAGAATAAAAAAACTTTGGTAGTTAGTTTTCGAAGCTGTACTATATGCACATGGTCAATGTAACTGAACATATTTGAATTCATATTGTTTTAAATCGAATAATGATAAATACATGCAAGTATCGTTAGTTGTTGAAAAGCAATTGTTTAAATTGCTACATTTAAAAAAGAGAGTGCTTTATATGCGGTGTATACAAACAAACCTTGTTTTGAATGATTATTTGTCCTCCCGGGGAACATAGATATACTGGACAAGTTCGAAAATCAGTGCCGATCGAATACTTTTAAAAGAGTTATGCCCCTTTGAAATATTAATTATGTAGAAAATTGCATTGAAGCACACTCACACCTGCATTTATTGTAGGATTACTATGAAATTAATATCATAGGTTTATATCCGCAATGTCTTGGGTAAGGTCGAAAATCAGCGCTGATCTGTTAATTGAGTCGTGTCACTTTGAAATGTAAGTTATATTCAACAGTGCATTGTAGGCACTCTCACACCTTCCACACCTTGACGAAATTTAATGAAGTTTATATCAAAGGCTCTTATCAGTAAGGTCATGGAAGAGGGCTGACCAACTATTTTACAGGAGTTTTTCCCCTTGGAAATAAAATGGAAAATAACTTGCAAGTGATCTCATTCCTTCATTTTTGTGAGATATTTATCAAAAAAATTAAAATAATTGTTTTAACTATTACCCTTGGACAGATAAAATTTGAATATATGTGCAACGCGGGGTCATTGGAACGCTGTTCTTTTGTGAATCTTGTGCAATTGAATTTCAAAGGAACAGTTTTTAACGAAAACTAGAAAAAACAATCCTACTTGTTGAACTTTTTTTTTTCCATAAATATTGTTATCCGTCAACTAATCTTGACTTCATTAAGAATTGCATTAATTTTGTGTTTATTATATAACTTACTAGGAATAGTTTATAAATGATATGTTTTAAATACATACTCTATATCAATCGTATCATTCGAATAGTTCTAACTTCACAAATATCAGGAAAATACATATTCATGACATGCGTGTATACATATGGTCTTTTTAACAAACAAACAAAAAATTTAGTTTTTTTCGATTCCATTTTGCCATGGCGATGTCAGTTTATTTTCGATTTATGAGTTTGAATGTCCCTTTGGTATCTTTCGCCTCTCTTATCCAAATTACCTTAAATTATTATTAATTCATAAGTAAATGCGCTTTTAAGAATTGGTTCAAACCAGTTTAACACAATACAACAAAACGTTTTCAAAGCGGTAAATTGATATTGTGGTTACTAAACAAGTGTTTAGTGTCTGTAAATATCAGTTGTATTTGATGAGTCTGTTTGTACGATGCTATGAAATAAGTGAAATGCGTTCTTCAGCGAACATTTCTCCTGTTTCGAACCGAGTACATATACTGCTGATATTTAAAGACACTGAGTACTGATTGCTTTTATCATGCAATTATTTTGTGCAAAGGTGTTGCTCTAACACATAGGAAAACTAATTCTTACAGTAATTATTTTCGTTTTATTTCCCTTTGGTGGCCTTGGGTAATAATCAACTGTAGTATACAATTACAGCATATTTATTGAGTTGTAAATGTATAAGATAGCCAATTGGCCGTTTCAGATTCTAAAGGACTATGGGTAATTTTATTGTTCGTACCCAAAAAAAGAAAATAACGTCCCGTCAGTGGTTGAATTTCCATTGTTTATGACTTTTTTAACCAATCACGACGTTTGGAGTAAACGTTTGAATGTATTACCCATGATGCATTACATTCTGAAACGGCGAATTGCAGGATAAAACTAAGTTAGAATTTATACTCAAACAATGCACATATATTAAATGTTGATAATAAAATATTCCAATAATTATATGAATTAATCATTTTGGTTTTAGGTGTAGTAGCAGTAGGTAAGAAGGGGATTTAATAACATACATGTACATTTGTCAACACAATTATCACGGATATCACAAATATCTTTATATATTACGATTATTTTCCTTCACGACACACACACTTGCAATCTTTTGTGTTTTCTTGAAATGCCTAAAAATGTATGACATTCGAAAAAAGAAAAAAATGTTATTTTTATCTGCCAAATAACATGTGCATAAATGCATGCATTTTCACTTATTAATTTCCCTCCGTCCATTCAGGAGATAAAGCCACGATATCATATACTCTTATAAAATCAAAAATCAAATACTCTGTCATTTTCTGTAAAAGTTGATGCAAGAATATTGTACCAACAACATTGTAGTAAATATCATTGTGGAAACACAAATGCAATTTAATTCCTATTTGAAAACAATAAACGTTAATTTAAGGGTAGAATAAAAAAATAAATAAAACAGGGTTGCTATATCTGTTGTTTCGATCTTTCTTATACCTACAAATCGTTCGATTGGAGTTTCTTCAAGCCGATGTTCAAGTTCATTTTTGAACGTATTGATTGCAATTTACCATTTTAGCCCGGTTGTCTAATGTTGTTAAAAAGAAACAAATTAGAAAAAGTGTTTTTAAATAAAGGTATGCATCGATTAGGACACACATGTATGGCACGTCTGAAAATCGTTCAGAAAAACCTAGATTTTCTTTATTTTTTGAGATAAACCGGAATTTTCTCCAGATAATGATTTTTTGGTATTTTCTGAGATAAACTAGGATTTTCTCGAATTTGAATTAAGCTGAGAAAATCTTAGTTTATCTAAGATAAACCGGGATTATCTGAGAAAACCCTATTGTATCTGAGATAATCTAAGATTAAGTAATAAAAGTGGTTCAGGAGTGCCATACACATGTGTAAGTTGTGAAAACATAAGCTAACAACCTTAGTATTTTGATCAATGTCGAACAGCTTTTATGAGAACTATTTAATCTATTGGGTTAATATCGATTTGTACTAACTCTTTTTTTAATTTTAAAGAACATGTTTTCCTTAAAAGAACGATATTTTTTTTTTAATTTGGAAGTTATCTTCCTTTTACTGTAAGTTATACTGCCATGCAGTTTAAATTTACATTTTCCCATAGTATCTGCTTTGTTTAAAAGCAAGAGCTCTCTAGAAATAATATTTCGATTATGATATATGGAAGTCGATGGGTCAAGCATGTTAATAATCTTACGTTAAGGTGTGACAAATATATGCATAGTTCTAATTTATAAACGTTCATATCTATAAACTTTGCACTGCATACCATTCAATACATACTGAATTATTGTTTACAATATCTATAGCTGTTTTGCGTATGGTACAGATAATCCTAATAACAAAATATGATAGAAAATATGTAAATACTCAACTTAATCTAGTAAATTGTCATAAGTAATGTTTTTTAATATTACTTATTGATATAATGTGATTAACTTGCTAGAAATAATAGATGTCTACGATTGATTTTCTCAGAAAAAACTTAAAAGAGAAAGACTTATTGTTTTTAATGAATTGTGATTGAGGTTTTTATTTACGTGTCATTGAATAAGAAAATATAATAATAACATTTTGAACTGTACCTGAAAAACTTCACAATATGTGCATGCATCACATTTCAGAATTGCACTTTCCAAGATTTACAATTTTCGTTTTGGTTTGATTTTACTTGTTGGTCTAGGAGGTTCAGACTTGTTAAAATAAACTTCATCATGAGTTTAGGTTTTGCTCAGTTTTCTTAGATGTATTTTTTTCAGAATGCAATTAACATGATTAAAAGTAATATTCCATTATTAAATGTTTTATATAAAAGGTAAAAACTATTTTCTTTAAATTCACATAGTTATTTTTATTATATTCTTATACAGATATGACAGAAATTAAGGGAAAAACCTGGTATAACTATGAGAACTTTAACATTGTACAAGAGATAGTACTGGTCACTTTAAAGAACTTTCAGAATATCAAAGGTCATTTCGAAAATGAGACCTACACTGAAGAAGTCAAATGTTTGTGCCGGCATAATTGTTTTTTTTTTAAACATTTTTCTTTTTATCATTTATCTTTTCCTAGATATCTTTTCTTAAAATCGCTGCAAAAATCTTTCAAGATAAATTAAGCTTTAACAGTTTTTCCTTAAAAAAACATTATTTGTTACCATATTTATGGCAAATAGTCAAAGAAAAGGTCTATCTCTTTTAGATTAACGGAAGACTCAAACACAATTTAAATGTCTCTCCTGTATTTAACCCTGGAAAGGTAAACGCTTCATATCAATCGATTAATTAATTTGACAAAGACGAACAAACGAAATGATTCCCATGCACGCACAACGTTTTTCTTAATCCCCTTTATTAGTATCGCTCGCAAATAATTTCCACATCAACTTTAAATAAAATGATTTTTATTATTGCTCCTGAAAAAAAAAGATTATGCAATAAAAACAAATATATGCTGTAAATTAAGAAATATTGCTACAACGTAGGGGTGCAATTTGTAATCACTTGGTGTTTCATTATCTGAACCATCATCCTTATTTATGCTAGAATACTAAGCAGGTACTATTCTTCATTTAATAGCTCTTACTGCTGAGGAGATAGGTATCAGACCCGACGCCCTTCAACAAATGGATAGAGTAAAATTTCATCTATTGTTGAGGACTCCAGGTAGAACACCTTCAGAGGCAGAGTATATCGTGTCCGTAAATGCTCCACCATACGCCGGTACTTGTTCAATAAGCCCAGATACAGGTATGTATATATTTGTATATAGATATAAGAAGATGTGGTATAAGTGCCACTGAGACAACTCTCCGTCCAAGTCACAATTTGTAAAAGTAAACCATTAAAGGTCAAAGTACGGCCTTCGACACTGAGCCTTGGCTCACACCGAACAGCAAGCTATAAAGGGCCCCAAAATGACTAGTGTAAAACCATTCAAACAGGAAAACCAACGGTATAATCTATATAAAAAACGAGAAACGAGAAACACTTATGAACCACATCAACAAATGACAACCACTGAACATCGGGTTCCTGACTTAGGACAGGTGCAAACAAATGCATCGGGTTTAAACGTTTTAATAGGCGCCAACCTTCACCCTACCTGAAACAATAGTTTAACATCACAACATAGAAAGACACACTATAAAATATCAATTGAAATGGCTTAACTCAATCAAAAAACATATTAACAAAAACAAGTGTAAAGTTTAATTATTATATAATGAAACCGATTCATTATGAAAATAAATCACTCAGATCTTTATCATTTGGAGAGCAAGGATATGATAAGGTTGCACTCTGAATAATCGAAATCTTTTACAAATGATTATTTTTTACGCCCCACCTACGATAGTAGAGGGGCATTATGTTTTTCGGTCTGTGCGTCCGTTCGTTCGTCCATCCGTTCGTCTGTCTGTTCCTCTTCAGGTTAAAGTTTTTGGTCAAGGTAGTTTTTGATGAAGTTGATGTCCAATCAACTTGAAACTTAGTACACATGTTCCCTATGATATGATCTTTCTAATTATCAATGCCAAATTAGAGTTTTGACCCCAATTTCACGGAATACTGAACATAGAAAATGATAGTGCGAGTGGGGCATCCGTGTACTATGGACACATTCTTATTTATAGGTATTTCAGTAACGACGTGGTTTACTGTAACATGCACTAAATGGCTTGATGAAGGAGAAAGATATGTACGAAATATTGCAGATGATGGGAATGAATTGTTATCATATTCTGTTTATCACGTGAGAAATACCACGAACGGTATAGTCGAATCGTTATTGTCAGAAACAGGTTGGTCAAAACTTTTACACATTTTATTAAACGTTAGTTGGAATGCAATTTGTTTTGAAATTAATTGAATTAACTAATTTTTATTTTTCCTAAAAAAAGCAGAAATACTAAAAGGACAACCAAACACCATAAGTCGGTGAAAATAAAGACAATATACCACGGCCAAAAGAAAAGAAAAAAACACGAAAAGACAAATAAAAGTCTTTAAAACACAGTAAATAAAAGTTTTGAAACACGAACCCAACCGAAAATCAGCAATAATTCTTTTACATTTTATTTCATAATTGAAAAGCTTCGTTAGATTTTATGAAAACAATACATTCATCTTTCTTGAATAATTCAACAAATAACCTGAATGACAATTTTCATATTACTTAAAGGAGACAGCAGTATTGTGTCAACTTTAGCTGTAGGAGACCCTGGAAACAATTTTCACAGTACAATAAGGGTCAACATTAAAGATTTCTACAACGGATATACTCAAGTGGAATTTCCAGTAACGGTAACTTTCACCTTTTGAATATTTTTTTTTTACCAAAATAAACGAGCAAAGTGATTATGACTAAATATATAACAGACAGTAGTTGCGAAAAATGCTAGTACATCATTTTGAGGTCGAGGTCCTGTCATTAATATTTAAGAATGAGCAACAGTTTTACACCAAAAGATATTTTGATACAAAAATTGATTGTAAATATGTTTTAAAACTGTGAGTGAAATCGCCTTTTGGTCAAATAAGGAAATGACATCGTAGTGCTCTCAAGTGTATGTTTTATAGTAACCTGTTAAGTTTTCAATGCCATCAACATAATTTTAGTACCTTAGACAAGTATACAATTTTTTTAAATTGCTTGGGCCAAGTCTTATTATACTTCCTCCTTTGTTATTGATTTATATATCTTACCCAAAAGATGTGTTTCCCTCGGTTTTGGTTTGTGACCCTGATTTGTTTACGCTTAATCGAAATGTTGCCTTTATTTACCGTTAAAAATAGAAGTATATAGATTTGTATTTTGTGAAAAAATTGCAATTTCTTTTTCCAGGTAACTAATGTCATCGATATTGACAGAACTAATCAAGCAGAAACAGACCTAATTAATAATATAACCGCATTAGTGAATGACGGAATGGAAGAATCACAAAGTAGCAATGATCCTAAGCAGGTTCTTCATCAGGCTGCAACTATCGTGGCTTCTATCGCATTAATAGTAAGTAAGGACACCCCTTTACCACAGTGCACAGTGTCTTCCTACTGTCAGTGATAATGTTAGCGATAAAGAAGTCCTAGTAGAATATGTTTGCATTGATGGACTCGAATTGCTAATACCATTGCTAATAAGTGCATGTGTATATAATTTTCTAGTATTTGTAATGCGATAAAAGGCCACATATTCATTTTCCTAGGTAAAAATGTCTATGTTCACGATTGTACTTTGAAAATGCTTTTTTTCTAAAAAAAAATCAATTAGGAATGAACAATGAGATGTTTCAGTATAGTAATGTTTAAAGGTGTTTGGTAGGTGTGCATTATTTTCATTATTTAACCAAAATGTGTTTATTGTTTTAATAATTTCCGGTCACTACTTCCGGTAGGTAAATAGATCCTCGGACTTTGCTTTTTATGTTAACTAGTCCATGTTCCGTGTTTTGCTAGACCAAGTATCCGTATAGAAATAAGGAGTTGAAGTATGATAACTTTCATATGACAATGAATGCAAAGGTCACCCTTCCTGAGCACATGATTTTGTTCTTTGGTAAAATTTCGTTTTTTTTTGCGATAGCGTTATCAGTTTGTCCTCGATTTATTAGTTTGAATATCCATTTGGTGTCTTCAGGCTTTCTTTTGCATGCGAAATATTAATAAAAACGTAGACCATTCAGTTATAAATGATTCCGATTGGTCGATAATTATTTTAAAATATCAAAGTGTTAATGCGAGGTAACTCTTTAAAAATCAGCTGAACGTTTTAATCACTCTAATCGTTCTATTGTTAAGGAAATATTAAGCTTCTCAGTGATCGAAATTAGTGTTTGTCAAACTGCTATATATCCAATGAAATTTTTCCAATAAAATGTGTGTTTCAAGTTTTTTGAAATTTTTTTATAGTTTGTCAAAGGGTCAAAGTAAATATTTTGTCAAAATTTTATGAATATTAAACGAGCCAAATTAATTTTAGTCAAGGTGTTTGGTACCAACTTAAAGTAATAATGATTTAATTTCCACAGCATAAAACATACAAAAATAAAAACACAAAAGTACAAAACCGAAACAACAAAATAATTATTAAAAAAAATAAGAAGAAATCCAGTATAACCAGTAAATAGTTAGTTTTTGGTGGGATATGTTGTAATGTCCAATATTTTTGGAAGTTTCTATTGTCCTTTATGTATTGTTAAATAATAATAATAATAATAAAAATAATAAATATTAATATACATATGTAAACCTTGATCTAAACACCTGCACACATTACAGGATTAAAAAAAAATATCACCTCATAAAAAACTCTGAAAACAAATGTTTACCATATATTCCGGTGTAACCTATCATGGAGTAATTTATATTTTAATAGCCAATATACCAAGAAACATTTAATACCACGGACAAACCGTTGAATTGGTTTATTGGATTATTGGATGCCGAAAAGAATGGGACGAAACCATACGACGACATTTTGGACGATCTGCTGAAAAATGATCAAGATCCTGTCATGGATGTTATTATACAGGTAAGCATACTTGATCTTTAAAAATTTTGTGATTTAATATTTAATAAGTGTTTCAAATTGAAAAAAAATGCCTAACCGGTTACTCGGATAATCTTTTTTAACCGATTAAAGCCTTATGTACAGTCCTGTACAAATGCACGGTTTTATGATACGACGAATTGAAGTTTATCCTCGGGCATTATAAGTCTTGGCTTTGAGCATTCCTGGTTAAGTTTTACTTTTATTAATAATTCAATACTATATATAGCTACCATATCAACTATGGCCTTTTTAATAACTTCAGATTGTGTAGATTAAAATCTTTTTGAAATCGGCGAACTGACAAAGTCTGAAACGGGTAATTGTTTCATTTCTCTGGTGTCTCAAAAAATCTTGTGAAGTTTAAATTTGAGATGATTAAGTGTGTTACTCACACCACCCAGTATACATAAATTCCATTCGCATAATTTGCATTTCACTATTTTGGAGTCTGCATTTCGTTTAAAGAATGACATAGCCTTGGACGATGGAGGTGGCATATTTACATGAAAGTCTAGGAAATATTGAATCAAAGTGAAATAATGAAGTAAATCGTAAAATCTCATCAACTAAGACCTGTTCAAAATCCATGTATCTTATGATTTTTGTATGATGAAAACATAATCTTTCAATCAGTTTATTTGAGGTCTGCAGGTGGCATGTCAGTAACTGCTAGTTTTCCTTTGTTAATTAATGTTGATTATTGTCATTTTGCTTAGTTTTTCTGTTACCTATTCTAACATCGGACTCGGGCTTCTTTTAAACTGAATTTTAATCTGCGTATTGCTGTGTGTTTGTTTATTCCGCATTGGCTAGAAGTGTAGGGGGAGGTTCCAGATCTCACAAAACATGTTTAATCTCGCCGCATTTTTGCCCCTGCCCGAAGTCAGGAACCTCTGGCCTTTGTTAGTCTATATTTAATATTGATAGAATGATTGCTCGACATACACGATAACAAAATAAGCATAAACATATGTTTTGTATTAACCTTTTAGTAAGCGTGCATTTGAATCGATCTCAGCCAAAAGTTTGCAAAGTAAAATGCGAGAAACAACGGAGAAACATTACAATAATTGCAAGAATTGTCAAAAACTAAGTATGTATGAAGGAGTTAACGGCTCAGATCTAGAACAAATCACTCAATTTTTCTAAGACGGCATGATCGTTTTTAAAAACAGGACGAATATACCAATTGGACAATAAAAATACCATTAGTTTACTACATGTAATGACAACACCATGGCCGAAAGGAAAAATTAACAGACAAAAATCTTCCACAAAATACTAAACGGAAAACTAAGATTTGGCAACACGATTTATCAAACACTGTGATGACATAAGAAGCTCTGGAACGGTAAGCAGTTCTTGCTCCACAAAATGCAACATTGACATTGTTAATGGCAAGTACAAATTTTGTGATTAATTACATTCAATACTGTTATAATTGTGGACAAGATAAAAATATTTTAAATTATCGATTCATATTTCAATTAACTAGGAATTGTTGTTTTTCCATAGGCTGTTGAAAATTTGACAAAACAAATGGAAGATCAGTTGGAGTCGAATGCTTCTACATTTTTTATGATAGAAATGGCAAGCAGTGCATTCGCAACTGCTCTCGGCTCCAATCAAATAGTTAATACCGATTCTGGGGTAAGTCTTTTAAAGTAGGTGAATTGAAACCTTTAGTTTGAATTGAATTTTATATAAAGATCCATGTAGATATTTCTATTTTTTTTTTAGCAGTAATCGTATTCTGCACTTTTTATTCAAAAGCAGAAATATGAAAAGAGAAACGTAACGAATGTGTGGAATATTTGTATAAAAGTTCTTACCAGGACTATTCGAAAAAAAAATCGTATAGCATTTTAACTGCATTATTCAGTTCATTCATTGCATCGTTTTTTACAGACATCAGCATCCAATGCATTAACAATTCTAGTTACAAATTTCAAAAACGCAAGTGAAACTGCATTAACATCTGATGCCTTGTTTGATAGTTCAGATCCACGCTTAGAAACAACATCTACTGGTAAGACCCATATTTAAGTACGAAAAAATTTGTCATCATCTTTTAATACGAAAAATTGATATTGTTATATGTGCAAGTATTACACAATTCTGATCTTTTACCTAAACGTTTTTGTCAGCATTTTCTATGTTTTGAATGGATATTATGTTTATTGTACAGTAAACAAAATTCACACGATTTCAAGATTTTATTATAAAGCAACGACTAGCATGATGCATATTGTTAAATAAATATACATAAGGTTAACCTATTCCGGTTTTCGTGTTTAAGACCTCAGTTTTCAAATCTACAAAAGTTAACTATTTCTAAAACAGATCACCCTAATACACAACTGTCAAGCAGTGATTGATCATGCAAAATTTATAAACAAATATTTTTCAAGGGAAAAGATATATATAACAGGTAACAAAGAAAACCGATGTTCAAATCTCGTAAATCCAGTTAGCATAAACAAATCAAGAAAAAAATCTGAGGGAGTGGTATGGACTCCGAACAGATCGATATTGCCTACGTGACAGGCTAAACTTCTCCTGCTTTGCATGCATCATTCGAATCCACACTCAGTCTAAATGACACAATACGAAATGGAACACCATTGCTAGATTTACAGATTAGACAACTGTTCTGGTATCAAAAGATCCAAGACCGCGACAACATGCCCGTTTGTGAGTTGAGACACAATAACATCGTATTTGTAAACCAATGGTAGCCGAAAATCTTATGCCGTGTTGATTTCAGCCATTTGTCCTCATAAACCTACTGGGACAGTTTTTATGTAAGGCGCACATTTGTGCTTATGAAGTTCATATTATATGAACAAACACGCGAGTAATGTAACAATTGAAACGCCATACGATTGGAACATAGGATTTTGTTATTGCTGAAAAAAAACCTGATTATCTGCACAACCCAAATATCAAGAATAAATACAAATACAGTAAGATACTAAGGAGTTACTACTTTATCAAATCAAAAGATATGTTTTCACTTTGTAAAAGTAAATAATCTGGCCGCCTTTAAGTTGGAAATAAATATTCGAACCTCATCAAATGCCAGACCCCCTGTCAGAGTTAAATGGTTGTCCCCTTATGCAAAGTTTGTGAACGAAAGTGAATAATATGAAATAAATATATTTTAATTATATTCAGCTATCATGGCCTTGGTGTCTGCCGTAGTTGGAGCTACGCTGACTTCAAATTTTCCCGACAATGGCTTAGCATTAATATCAGCAACAACAGCAGACGCACGTAAACAAGTAGACTTTTTGGCAAAAATATATAGGGATGAAGCTTATAACATAATGGAAGGTGGTGAATTAACTCCCGAGGAGCGCAATGGACTATACTTAATGAGGGCAAGGATTTCACAGGCCAAGTTTGAAGAACGACAGGACTTGGTAAGATTTTTCTTCAAATCTATCACGAGAAGCAATGTGCTTATTAAACAAGTAGTATGCACGATTGCACATTAGTTTTTGATCAAGGATACCATTTTGCTATAACGAATACACTACATAAACGCATGTAAAGAATGTAAAAAATTACCTGGGAAATATTATCCTGCTTGTAAAAAAGAGACGAAAAATACCATGGGGACATTAAAAACTCATAAGTCGATAGAAACTGACAACGCCATAATAAAAAAGGAAATATATATATATATATATATATATATATATAAGTCTGAAAATTACACCCAACAGTGTTAGAATTAGATTTTTCTGCTGACAAATTTTTGTCCGTCCCTCAGCGGGATTCGAACTCACACCTTTGATACACTACAGCACCAATCGCTTAGCCTCATGTCCAGCGCTCTAGACCACTCGACCACATCCGCTATATAAAAAATATAACTTCAATAGTCGTAGTGTTACCTTGTCACGGAAGGCGAATCTAGAGATAGACATAAGACATGTGTTTAAGCGTGTGTAGATGTTATATTATTATTTTATACACAATGTATTTTTTTATTTGTCAGCAATCTAACTCAACAATTTTTATATACCGTATGGGATAATGATTCAATTCATTATACAGTCACTGGAAATAAGTATATCATACAAACAAGTCTAAACAAGTGACAACCATACAATATATATGCCCACTGGATCTCAGTGTGATAGAGATACATAGTTAATACAAATATTTATATAAGTCTGAAAATTACACCCAACAGTGTTAGAATTAGATTTTTCTGCTGACAAATTTTTGTCCGTCCCTCAGCGGGATTCGAACTCACACCTTTGATACACTACAGCACCAATCGCTTAGCCTCATGTCCAGCGCTCTAGACCACTCGACCACATCCGCTATATAAAAAATATAACTTCAATAGTCGTAGTGTTACCTTGTCACGGAAGGCGAATCTAGAGATAAACATAAGACATGTGTTTAAGCGTGTGTAGATGTTATATTATTATTTTATACACAATGTATTTTTTTATTTGTCAGCAATCTAACTCAACAATTTTTATATACCGTATGGGATAATGATTCAATTCATTATACAGTCACTGGAAATAAGTATATCATACAAACAAGTCTAAACAAGTGACAACCATACAATATATATGCTCACTGGATCTCAGTGTGATAGAGATACATAGTTAATACAAATATTTATATAAGTCTGAAAATTACACCCAACAGTGTTAGAATTAGATTTTTCTGCTGACAAATTTTTGTCCGTCCCTCAGCGGGATTCGAACTCACACCTTTGATACACTACAGCACCAATCGCTTAGCCTCATGTCCAGCGCTCTAGACCACTCGACCACATCCGCTATATAAAAAATATAACTTCAATAGTCGTAGTGTTACCTTGTCACGGAAGGCGAATCTAGAGATAGACATAAGACATGTGTTTAAGCGTGTGTAGATGTTATATTATTATTTTATACACAATGTATTTTTTTAAAAAAAGAAACAATTTCACAAAACACTACACAGAAAACAAAAGACTAAGCAAAAAAATCCCTACGTATAATTGGGGTGAACTTAGGTGCTCCACTATTGTCACAATCTCAAATTATCGTTACGACAAATGAAACATACACGTGCTCGTCTGTGATACTGATATTCCAACTGTCAACCAAAAATTATAGAAACGTCTGTAAAACTGTCAAAGTATTGACTTCAACACTACCATTTGGAAATCTTGGTTCATTAGCTTCCTTGCGAACAACAATCTTCTATCAAAGAAATCATCATAGGAAATGCAAGCTCTGAAATATTGTATCAACTAGGAGATATAAACTCCATATGCAGGAGCTGCTGGTATGTAGCTACGTAGAAATGGTCAATTCTCAATTAAGAAGCTGAGTTCTTTCCGTTTTGCATAAAGTTGTTTCTCAAGCGATCATCATTGTCAACTACTAGATTTTAGTCAAGATATCAGACAGATTTAACTGTCTCTGTTGTATCCTTTAATTCAAGTTTAATGGGATGGATGCGTTCAACAAAGTCATCAAACTTTAAACTATTCAATGAGAAGACATCATCTAAATAGCGGAACGTCAAGTTAAAGGATAGTTCTAGCTTCTTTTCATTCGTCCTGAGAAATGTCTGTATGGCGTTCGGCTCATATGAATAAAGAAACCATTTATAAGTTAAAGGATAGTTCTAGATTCTTATCATTCGTCCTGAGAAATTTCTGTATGTCGTTCGGCTCATATGAATAAAAAACCATTTATAAGGTTTTGATCAGATATTTTTGATGGAACAACTATATGTTTTGTTAATATTTTCAGGCATCATTAACAGATACATCAATAGACGCAGCATTGCAAGTGATTATTGACCAGGGATTGAATATGACATGTAAAGGATGTGAAACAATATTCGACACAAACAATGTTAATCTGTACATATCTAAAACAACACTTCAAGCTTTGAATGACGTAGCCAATGGGTTACTCCAGAATTCGACACTTGTCATGAGCTTTGGTTATAGTACAGATTCAAATGATACAACTTTATTTGGGGTACGATTTGTTAAGCTTTGAAAATAATACTTTAAAATGTGGTGCGTTTACATCACTTCTGTGGATTTTTATTCATCAGGACGCTCAAACCCATGAATTTGAATGTCGATGATACATAAATACTTGAATAGTTGAGGAGCTATTTGACCAAAAAAAAGGACACAAAAAATCCCAAAATGTACATAAGGTAAACTTTGTCTGATGAAGTTGCAACTTTAGTATCTTACTAAAATAAAAAAATATCAACGGAGAACTTAATGAAGGCATGATAAAAATCATTTCAGTGACGATGCACTCACTTGCTAATGATACACTCGGTGACTTTAAGTCTAATTTTCCTACAAATATTTTTATTAAATAACGGTTTTTAAATACGCTATTTTTACTATTTTTGTTGAACAATTGTATATTTACTAAATTTAGTGTTTAATTTTTTAAAATCATTTTATCTTCTTAATGAGATTTGAACATAACTTATCTTAATATACTTTTGCCTTAATATATAACTTTTTTTTTAGATTGCAGTTTTCCCACAAAATGTGTATATAGCTGGTACCTCAGACACTGCTTTGGTTACGTCTAACGTTCATAAATTATCTTTAAAAGATGAAAATGAAGACAATTTGAGTCAAACAGAAGTAGCCATTAATCAAACAGCCAGAACGTTACAATCTACACAGAACTTACCTGTCTACACGGAAGGCGATGCTTCGAATCTCTTGTATCACTCTTTTTTCTACCGTGACGCTGGAGACTACGTTTGTGTTTCCGTCGATCCAGCAGAGGGAGTTCCGAACTATGTGACGTCATATGATGTCTATGTGAAAGGCGATTCTCAACCAACTCATTTGAATTACGAAGCCAAAGGAGAAATTTCACCTTACAATGACTGGATGGTGTGCTTCCCTCCTCAATTGTTTTCTACAACTGGTGAAATGCATGTTGCTCTACATCCAAACAGTAAAGTGGGTAAGAAATAACAAAAATAGTTTTATCGTATTTTTTATACAGATTGGTTTGATATTTTATTTGAGTCGTGTGTAGACGAAACGCATGTCTAGTGCAAAGCGTTTTTTGAAATATATCTTACATATTTGATATACAGATATTAAGGTTACCATAGTAAAACGATATCCAGATCTCACAAATTCATGTATGAAATAGAAAAAAAATTAAGGGTAGACGCTCGGATGTACATTAACCCCAAAACGGAGCTACAGTAGGTGCATCGATCGGGTATTAATTGAGTACATTAATACTGTAAATAAAATGACTTACGAATTCTCGAGAAACTATAAAGTGTAAGTAGTTTGCATTTAAAAAATAAGTCTCCATTTTGCAGCTGGTTTCAATGGCTACGTATGGGAACCAACTACCGGTAAATTTGCTAATGGATCATACAACATATCAGAACCCGAATTGATGCCATATCATTTGCACATAGTGACGTCAAATTGTAAAGAGTGGGATCCCAAAAGACAATCTTGGGATTCAAGCAACTGTGAGGTAATAATTTAATATTGCTTATTTACAAATATTCATATTCCTTTAACTGAAACTACTATAGGTTAACATACATACATAGTGAGGACACTAAAACATGAATTCTTTCTGGAGGAAAATATGTGAAAATATTTAATGTATTAAGAAAATAAACCCAGTTATACTACTGCTACAGCTACTGTACCAATGCTGCTGCTGCTGCTGCTGCTACTACTACTGCTTCTGCAGCTACTACTTATTCTATTACTACTTCAACTTCTTGTACTACTACTACTACTACTACTTCTACTACTCCTCTTGCTACTACTGCTGCTACTACGACTACTTGTTCTACTATATTACAACTATTACTACTACTACTACTGCTACTACTGCCGCTACTACTTCTGCTGCTACTAATTCTACTACTACCAATTCTACTACTACTACTTCTACTACTACTACTACGTCTGCTATTGCTCCTACTGCTACTACTGCTACTACGTCTTCTTCTGCTCCTACTGCTACTACTACTAATACCATAATGTTGCTACTACAAATACCGGTGTAGTACCAGTGACAGCAGTATGCCATAGCAACAGGTCCGTTATTGCATGAAATGCCAGGTGTGGGTAACTAGTCCTTAACTAGTACTTTTTGAAATAATGATGTATTACTTTCAATATGTATATAGATATAAGAAAATTACTACATGGATATACATACAGAAGATTTTAATTTGTTTTTATCTTTCTGAATGTACAAACCTTTTGAATTAAGCGTATATGAAGCATATACAAAAAAAAAAAAACATACCATGCGGTCAAAAGTACGTTTTCACGCATCATGGGTAATATAAACACTTCCAGTGCAGATGTATTATCTGCAAGAATCATCCTACTTAATATATCTTAAATTAACTCAAGTATCTTAAAAACGTCGTTTTTCATTATCCAACTTTATATGACAAATATTGTTTATATACTGTATACTCGAAAGGACATATATATTATTTCAATTCTTTGGCAATCTAGTATATGCTATTCGTTTACATTATTCAATGCAGTTAAGGGATAAACCAAGTTGTTTTTCTCTGTTTTGCGTCCGGTTTTTGGTAGGGTTTTTATGGTTTTTGATATAAAAAAAATTCAGGAAATTGTTTTAAAATCAAGAAATTAGGATATCTAAGGGGGACGTTTTAACTTTACTAGTACATTGTATGAAGATGAATGTTCAAAATTAGTATGTGGTTCAAAATACAAACGTTCTATAATGATAGCAATTTTGAATATTTTTATGAAAAAAATGCCAGCAATCAAACTAATATAAAGCTTCGCTTACATCAACAATTGTAATATGAGATTTAATAAAACATATATTTTTAATTTTTCAGATGGATTGGTTTCCAAGTCAAAATACAATAGAATGTACATGTCGTCCAGCTTTCGGTTTAACATTTGGTAACACTTTTTATGTGGCGCCAAATACAATCGACTTCTCCACAGTTTTCTTACGTTTTGATTTAGCCAATCAAGCAGCTGTGCTCGGGACTCTTATTGGTGTACTAGCAATATACTTACTGCTTCTTATTTGGGCGAGACATCAAGATAAGAGAGATATTGTTAGGGTAAAATTCCTTTTAATATATTGACTAATTAACACAATTTATTTCCTTTAAGTTAATCGAAGGCATAATTTATATTTAGATTAATAATGCAAAGTTTGTTTTCTGCTGGTTTCCATTTTATTTGTTACAGAATTGTAAGAAAACACAGTGCATTGTGGTTGATTAGTTTAGATGAATATTGTAAAACACCTTTCTCCGTTCAGTGTTATTTTTCATTAACTCCAAAGACTTTAAGGTATGCACTCAATACTTTACCATATTTGAAATTAAAGAATTATCATATATATAAACAATAAATACAGAATGAAATTCGTAATCTCTTTTTAAAGTGGGGAGTAACACCTTTGATTGACAACTTCGTGGACGACACATATTATTACCTTGTAACAGTTTATACAGGAATGAGAAGAGGGGCAGGTACTAAGTCGAGGATAGGCTTTATAGTATGTGGAGAAGATGGAGATACAGGGATAAGGGAATTATCTGATGGCGTCAGATCGGTAAGCCTCTATTCTTTGATATCAGTTACAAACAGAAACACGATTACATTTTCTTCATATTAAACTGAGTTTACTTGTTGATTAACAATCAAGTGTCATACAGATTTTTTCATTTTAATTCCATATAAACCTGCGTGTTTATTTAAGACTGAAACAATATTCTGATTATTGTATATGTTTAATATATCATGCCTGGTATTATCAATTTCAAGAAATATGCCATCTGATTAATTAAGGTTGTAAATGAAAATAAAATTTATAAATGTCGTTCGTCCGTAGATCGATTCTGAATTTACCTTCATCATGAACGCTTAAACCTAAACTTTCGAAAGCTAATGATATATAAGACCTAAACACGTAAAGGTCAATATGAGCAAAAGGGACCTAAACAAATAGTCACATTCATCTACGGAGAATTTACGAAAAATTTGTTAAAATCATGTCAGTACCAAAGCACTGACTACTGAGTTGATGACCAGTCCACCAGTGGTGGTATCGACCAGTGCTAGTAAATGACAATAACACTTTATCAATACTGTAAATAGTAATATTTATAACTAAATACTTGATAAACCGAGTCGCATTAAATTTTAAATGCTTGCGAATTATTGTCCCTTTTCAAATCTGCATTAAGCTTAAAAATACCATTGTGAATCATAAAATACCTATGGCATACCGTATATACAGATTTGTACTAATGTGATTTAGCAGTGTTCTGCGATTGTTTGTTTATCCAGAAATTATTATGAATCTTTGGGAGTAATACATGTTTCTGTGAAGTATTGTTGAAGTGAAATAATATAAATCAAAGGAAATGAAATGAATGCGATATAACACGAATAACATAAAGACACTCAGATGTTGACCTACAGTCTTCAATAATAGGCAGGTGTCTGTACAATATGCCAAAGACAAAATCGCCCAGAGTAAAAAATTGAGGGGACTGAAGTTTTTCGATGTTATAATTAATCAGAAACTTTCAATTGATTTACGATTTTATAATTCTGAAAAACTTTAAGAGACAGTCAATACAGATTTACATGATTTTTTTTGACAAATTACAAGTTAAACCATAGAACATTCGTCAAGGGTTCCGCGAAACCATATGTCTCGCATGCGATTGCTGTTGTCAGTGTAAAAGTGAAATGTTGAAATACAAAAAGGAGGTCCATGTATCAGCAAAATACAAAAAAAAAAAAAAAAAAAATCACACAGTTTTAAATTACTTCAGATGCTATTTCTTTATCTTGAAGAAGCTTACCAGTATAACCAAGTTTCAAAACATTCAATGAAGGTTTAACAAAGTTAGTACTGTCTTAAAAAGTTAATTTAATCCTAGACTAAAAGCAATTATCAATTGCAAATTAAAATAAATATCTAAAATTAAGACTGAGACATTATCACTTAATCATAAAAACCAAAGCGTTTACCAAGGGTCATTAAATGTTTATGAAGGTTTGACAAAGTGACTTCACGTGTAAAAAACTTTTAACCTCAAACTGTAACACAATGTTAACTTCCAAAAAAGTAATTATATCAGTAGAACCTTAATGGCAATTGCTCAAACTAAGTTTATCAAATAAAAAAAACCAGAAAAATGGAAAGAAAAAAATCAAAATTGTACTCTGGATTCTGTCTTTGATTCATAAAAAAGCTTCTGCCTAAATGTCATTAAATTCCAAGAAGTTTTACAAAAACATTGTTGTCTAAAAAACTGGAACTACTGACTAAACTCTATCTTGACGCCAACGCCGACAATGGAATGTAAGATCGCTATGCTTTACTTCCGCAACAAAGCCTCGATACAAATGGTGATCAAGATAAGTAATTTTGGAAATTTCATGATAAAAGTTTACGTGTGGGACAGGTACATGATCATGTGATAGAGTTATACTACTTTTTCAGCTAGATTTTATTCATAAACAGTTGCAGGAGGAATACTGATGTTAAAATTGACAGTAAAAAGTAAAAACAAAAAAACAAAAAAAATCCGAACTCCAAGGAAAATTAACAATGGAAAGTCCTTCATAAAGTAAATCCCAATTTGCAGACTAAACAATTTATTGGCAAAATATCGTCTATTTTGCAAGATATAGAAAAAAGATTTGGAGATAAGACATAACAATTATTACAAAAGGAAATTGCGACAAAACTGTTTTACGTGTAAATAGCGGACTAGTCTGGTCCATCAAATATAAGCCTTATGTGTCCATCATTTGAAGCATGTACTGCTTGTGCCTTTTGAATGTTTATGCTCTCAAATGGTTTATATGTTTTGCTTTCCAACTTTCTAGTCATGAGAATACCTGACGATGCTTATTTCAGAAACACCTGTCGTGCATATTGAAATCCTTATCACACTTTATGAAATATAAATTCTATATTACATTCCAACAGACTAACTATTTGAAAGTTTTGTATAAATATTTTGAATTGTTATAAATAGTTTTGTTTTGGAAATTTTAATTTAGATAGCACTGTCTCTCTTATTCTTATCACTATGTCTTATATTTAGACTTTTGATTTATGTTTCAGGAAATACCAACTGCAAGCGTTGTACATTTCCTGATGTCAACTCCATATCCGCTAGGAGACTTAAGCTATGTTTACATATGGCATGACAACTCCGGTGAAGGCGAGTCTTCATCATGGTATTTAACCCGTGTTGATGTCGAAGACATACAGAAGAGGGAAAGGTATCATTGTTGTTTTAATCGAAAATTAATTTAATCAACTTCATACATAGTTTGAACAATTGATTTGTTATCGTTTCTTTCATTTTTCAAAGTGTTTATGTTATTGTCGCAATCTGCCTTTTCAGAATCTAAAGTACTATGGGTAATTTCATTGATCGTACTCAAAAATGAAAATAACGTTACATCATTGGTTGAATTTTCATTGTTTATAACGTTTTAAACCAATCACAATGTGTTGGTGTATACGTACGCTTTTGAAAATATTACCCAGAATGCATTAGATTCTGAAACGGCGAATTCACATCTTGTGTAATAATTATAATGGTACCGTTATTGTTATTAATTATCGTAAAGGGCGCATTCAAGCATTTATAGAAATAAAAAGACAATCCAGTTTGATCAATGTTGATCTAAATATGAAGATTTTATAGGAATACTATTAGTTATGCAATTGCTTTGTTGACCGTTGTTTATCTATCATCTATTATATTTTTGGCCATGGTATTTTTTTTTTCTTTGGCCTATGGTTTGTGACTGTCCACTTGGTATTTTCTGTACCTTTTTAGCGTACATCAGATATGAAGTACTGTTTCAGAATATCCTAGATCTATATATATTCATTATTTGACGTTTTGGTAAAAAAAATATTTAACAGAAAGATTATTTATAATATAACGGTGATTTAGCACCAAAAAAATGCGCCAAAGTTGAAGACAGTGCACGACTCGAAGGAGTGATTTACTGACTGACTAAATCTTTTTAACGAAAACAAAATTAAAATAATCTCAAAATATCCATGGTTTGAACTTTCTTGCAATAGAAAGATTTTTTTTACGAATATGGTAGAATAAAGAATCTTCAAACTAACAGAAAGTATAATAGAATGGGTTATGGGTTTTTTCTTTGTTAATTGTAGGAGAAATTCTCATTTTCCTTGATTAATTGTAGGAGAAATTATCAGTCTTATCTTAGTTGCTAATTGTAACCTTCAAAAATGTAAATAGATATGTATAATGCATGAATTTATTTGAATTTATTGAATTTTGATATTCATATTTTAGGTTTGTTTTTATGTGTGGAAAATGGCTATGCTTAGATACAGTTGATAGCAGTGTTGATGCCGTCCTACCAGTTTGTGGAAAAGAAAATGTTACAACGTTCTCAAATATGTTTTACCTTAATACGAAAGAAAACCTTGCTGATAACCATATGTGGATTGCAATATTTTTCCGCCCAACCAGCAGCCATTATACAAGATGTCAGAGACTAACTTGTTTTCTGGTATTTATATTTTTAACAATGATAGGAAATGCAATTTATTTCCGCGAAGAAGACGAGTTTACCAATGCAGGATCAGATATTCGAGTTGGCCCATTTTCATTCTCATTGAGAGCAATTTACATTGCATTTATGTGTGCATGTATTTCAACACCTACCACCATATTAGTAATTTTGTTGTTCAAAAAAAGTAAACCAAGGAAAAATGTAAGCTACAATATCAAAGACTCATCACGAAAATATAGGGTACCAGTATTAGATTCATGGATGGATAGAATGATGGCAGAAAGTCGTGAATTAGAGAAGACTCTTGTGGCAAAAGGACTTTTCAACACGGACGGTACCATTTTCCCGTATTGGTTTCAGTACATAGCTTGGATTTTGGCACTATCAGGAATAGGTGCATGTTCTTTCTTCCTGGTTCTTTATAGCGTCGAATGGGGAAAGAAAAAGTCTGAGGTCTGGCTTGGACAATTTTTTCTGTCATTCTTCACCTCAACTTGTCTCCTTGATCCATTGAAGGTAAGCAATATATTATCCTGTCACTTTTTAATTCATTTCATTCATAGCTGTAATTTACATGATTTGATTTCCAATTCATAATGCAAACTTCACATCAAATGATTTTTACTGTTAAGTTCATGCCCTGTTGTTGTTTTGCTCTTAAACGTTTTCAGTCGAGTTGCATGTTATTCAAATTTGGCTTATAACATAATGGATGCTGTCGGGGCGTTCATTTTCCGATTTTCGGACTAAATATTTTAAACCATAAATAATAAGTTCATCACATTTATCTTTAAGTCACAAATGAGATATTTACCAATCGGCTCATGATGTCATTGTTCTTTGTAATTTTATATTTCATATTTGGCTTTTCGAAGCTTTGGTCTCTAGCTTACCTGATTTTTTGTGTTTTGTCTTGTATTTCATGAGGATTTTTGTAATATTCGATTCAAAAAAATGAAGGAAAAAATATAATTGTAAAGTATGATAAGGAAAATATTTGGTAGTCATGATATAGATTAAAAGCAAATTTGCCTCGTATATCATCAGTACTTGGTAGTAATAACTGTACTAAACAGGAAGATATAGATATAAAAAGATGTGGTATGAGT